AAAGGAACCAGGCAATCTTTACTAAAAACAGGAAGAGTAGGAGGTTACCTGGGGATTTGGCTAAGCATAAGTAGGCTTTAAATATCAAAAGAAACTGAGTTTTGACTTTTTTTTTCTGATCAGATCATATCTAGGAAAGCCCACAAAAATTAAACCGTTTTGTCCTTTCCTAATTTTGTAAATGCCCTTCCTATGTAGACAGGACGTCTGTTTCTTCTTTGAAGCTGAGTTCCCCAACTTTGTGTTTTTAAAATTAAGGGAAATACTTCTGAGGTATGTTTGACATACTTAGTTCTAGGTTTTGCTGTTGTTACTTGGTTGGTTTTCTGGATCCCCGGAAGCCAAGTTTCAAGACAACAGGAAAATACTACTGATCCAACAGGCAACCAATTTAAATTTGAAGATATAGTTGGTTATTTATAAATTCCTTTTTAAAAAAATGTGTTATTCATTGGCCAACAATCGGTTAGGAATCAATTTACAATTTAGCTGCAGGAGTATCACTTGGAAAATATAGTAAAAAATATATCCCTACATGATCTCATTGATATGAGGAATCTGGGAAACAAGACAGAGGATAATAGGGGAAGGGAGGGGAAAATGAAACAAGTTGAAACCAGAGAAGGAGAAAAAGCATAAGAGACTCTTAATCTCAGGAAACAAACTGAGGGTTGCTGGAGGGGAGAGGGGTGGAGGGATGGGATGGCTGAGTGATGGACATTGGGGAGGGTATGTGCTATGGTGAGGGGGGAAAAAAAAATCCCTGAAAGTTTCATTTCAATGGCTAACAGAAGAATGTCAGTACTCTGATATTTCTCCAATTACCATAAATTATCAATCAATATGATATGCTCTAAAACACTTAGAAGGTAAAATAGATACCAATACCAGCTTAATCTTTCAAGTTTCATTTTGCATGCTTTTGACAAGTGGGAACTTTTTTTTTTTAAGATTTATTTATCTGAAAGAGAGAGATTGAGAGAGAATATACGTGAGTTGGGGGAGAGGGAGAGAGAGAATCCCAAGCAGACTCCCCACTGAGTTTGGAGTCCTATGCTAGGCTGGATCTCAAGACCCAGAGACCCTGACCTGAGCCAAAACCAAGAGAAGGACACTTAACTGACGGAGCCACCCAGGAGGCCTGGCAACTGTGAACTTCTGACATGAAGAAATATGCCATGGGAAGTTGAGAATAAACAGTTTCTGCTTCTGATGCATTCAATTAAAAATATGTACTGAGTTTCTATCATGCACCTAGAATTTTTTATAAGGCAGTAATAAAACTTATGGCTGTTGGATTCAAGATATCAGTTTGTAAATCTTTGAACAGAACTCAAGTGCCCCGTGACACCATTCTGCCATCTCTCAAACTAGATTACACAAGTAATTATAATATTAACATACTGATATAAAATGGTTACAGGTGTACTTTTCTATAAAAACTATTTCAACAACTAATGACCATCCATGAAGAGTAAATGAAGAGATCATATTCATACTGGTAGCCAAACTTTTTAGGAGTTAGACTGTCAAACAACAGGAATATTTTTTATTCTGGTGAGAATACAAAATTTGTACTGCCAAAGCAAAATTGCACTGGACATAATGAAAAAGGCCAGGAAAATTTTATTCAAGGGTGTGCAGTAGGGAAGATAAATCAGATCTCAGTCCGAACTCAGCTCTGCTGAAATAACAGATGGGACATTTTTGAATTGGAATGGGAATGGATGGAAGGTTTTACGACCTGGAGTTGTGGGAATCACAGTCACCTGTGTTTGCTAGTTGGTATTATCCCCCCAAAGAGATAAACTTTCTCTTATACTCATGACCCAAGACAGTATTACAACTTGGATCAAGGCACCTGTCCAAATTAGGCTCCTACCCTCCAACAGAGACTGGGAGACAGAGATCTATACTGCTTGATGACTGCATTGAGAGGGATGCCTTTCTGGTCCTTGAGAAAGCTACTCCTTGGTTAAAACTGGCAAGAGGCTTTCAAAAAATTACAATTCAAAGAATTTACCATTATAAGTTTTCTAAAGTAAATGCTATTAAAAAAAAAAAAAAAAAAAAGGAAGTCAGTGACCTCTGGTTTAAGCCTTCTGGATTTTGTAAGGGCCAAGTGTGAGAGGGAGGTCAGGAGCCTAGGGGCAAGTAACAAATCTGTCTAAAGTTTCATCAAGTTGAGGGAAATGTTAAGGCCATCTTGGTCAGTTCTCAAAGCTTAAAGTTACATATAATAAATAAAAATATCATTATGAGGGGCACCTAGGTGCCTCAGAGGGTTAAGCATCTGCCTTCACCTCAGATCATGATCTCCAGGTGCTGAGATTGAGCCCCACATTGGGTTCCCTGCTCAGCAGGGAATCTGCTTCTCCTTCTCCCTCTGTCTCTCTCCGTGCTGTGCTCTGTCTCTATCTCCCCATCAAATGAATAAAGAATAAATACATGGAAATATCAATATCAAATCAAATGCATAACCAGAAGTAGATAGAGTTGATCCTTGAATAATACAGGGGTTAAAGTCACTGACCCCTACACGGTCAAGAATCCACATATAACTTTGGACTCCCCCAAATCTTAACTAGTAGCATACTATTGATTTTGACATACATATTATTTACCAGTCACATAAATAGTCATAAACACGTATTTTGTGGGTGATATGATTATATGTATTCTTAGAATAAGAGAGAGAAGAGAAAGCATTAAGAAAATCATAAGGAAGAGAAAAATACATTTGCACTACTGTTAAAAAATCTACAATCTGTAAGTAGACCCACAACAGTCCGAACCCTTGGTGTTCAAGGGTCAACTACATAATCTACTGTATTTTATTATCATCAAAGTGCATTGCTCAAATTATTACCAAAAAAAGAAGACATTTTTCCCCCTTATGCCTATCTACCCTGCTTTCACTCTTTAGACCAGCAGTTGGCAATCTAAGGCCACAGCCAAACCCAGCCCATAGTTTTTGTTTTTAAAATAAAGTTTTAACAGTACATGGCCATGCCCATTTGTTTATTTAATATCTATGGCTGCCTTTGCACTTGGAGTGCAGTGATGCAGTTGTGACAGAGACTGTAGGACACACAAAGCTGAAAATACTTGCTATATGGCCCTTCATCATTATGGGCTCACATGCAGGTCACTTGGTACAAAAGTAGCCACAAGTATTTTCTTGTTACTGTTTACTTAGGTTAAAGATAAGAAAAAAAACACAAGTGATAAAATGAATAAAGGATGATCTTCCTCGTTTCAGCTTTTAACCTTTTTCTATGTTAACATGATTATGCTTCTCAGAACATCGGAAATATGGCAAAGAAGTAACGTGATATCAGCTCACAGAGATATTTTGGAATGAATTTAACTTGATCACTTCTTTTACTGATGATTTTTCCAGAAGCAGACTTCTCATTGCTGTTGTTTTACTGTTGTCTTTTTTAACATAGCTCCTTTTTGACAGAACAGTATATTTTAGACTCTTAATCATAGTTGCATTTTTATTTGTGCTTAATTTGATATGAGGTATTCTGAGTTATAGCCAACGACGTGGGACAGAGCGGATGACAAACTCAAGGGACTTCATTATGGCTGCCCAGTTACAAAATAGGTTGCCTTAAAAGGAATGTGCTGTTGCCATGTGTGTACAGGCAGAGGGATGAAGGCCATCAGTAATGGACGCAGCAACAAGGTTTCTCATCTGGAGAGAGGTTCAACTGTATGACCCTTAAGTGCCTTTTCATCTCCATAATCTATAAGTCTTACTATTTAGACTTAGGACATTCCGTCAACTAAAAAAACCATACAATTGGTCAAGAAAATTTTAAATGTAGTCTTACATATGCTTTTCTGGAATTATGTCTGGTGATTAAATGCTAAGAACAGTAAACCTTTGAAGTAGAGCATTGATCTTTGTCCAATCCACATCTGTTACTCAGATGGTTCAAAAGGACCCATTATCTGGGCCGGCATCTAGTGAAAATTTTCATCCTTAAAATGAAAGTACAGTTTTATAATATATGCACATGAAGAGTTTAAGTATTATACATCATATATATCTTAAAAAGATACATTTATACTCTTAGACCAGGTTTCAAAAGGTAAACTGTAGGCAAGAGATAACCCAATTCTAAACCCTTATGGAAACTCCTCAGTAAAGGTCTACATGGGTCACTCCCATGGAACCACATTTACTGCAGTATGTGCATTCTCAGTAAATTTTGGTTTTGCTGAATTAGGGACACTGGTATAAATATAGGAAGGAAGAATATGCAGCCTATTGTTTGGGTCAAGACACTGTTATGGCTCCAGATGTGTGTCTCTCTGACATTAACAGACTCTATAAAGTTTGACAATGCACTTCAATCATCAGGCTTTAGTATCCTCAGATAACAAATAAGGCATTGGTTCTCAAACTTTAGTGTTTATGAGAAGCATCCAGAGGGCTTATTAAAACACAGATCAGGGCACCTGGGTGGCTCAGTGGGTGAAGCATCTGCCTCCGGCTCAGATCATGATCTCAGGGTCCTGGGATTGAGCCCTGCATTGGGCTCTCTGCTCAGCAGGGAGCCTGCTTCACCACCACCCCCGCCACCTGCCTCTCTGCCTACTTGTGATCTCTGTCAAATAAATAAAATCTTAAAAAAAATAAAATAAAACACAGATCACTGGGCCCCACTTTGTGAGTTTCTGATTCAGTAGGTTTGGGGTAGGGTGGAGAAGGTGCAAGTTCCCAGGCATTATAAAGGCTCTGCATCTCCATGGAGAACCCTCTGAGAACAAAATAAGGTTTGGGAAGATGGTGGTAGTGAATTAGCAGATCCTTAACACTTTATAGCTGGGAGAGGGACGATCTGGCATCCAACGTGCACATTCAAATGTAATTGACTTTGCAATCAAATTTCGTTTGAATTAGAAGAAGGAGATGAATGCTTTTCTTTCTTTTTCTTTAGATTTCAAGAGACTTTCGAACATTGCACGTGTTGTAGAGTACTTACGTCATAGCTTGATAAATGGATTCAATCCCATAACGCATGGCAAATTCATCGACTATTTCTTGGGAAGCATCATCAAAGAAAACCTTCCAGGCTTCCTCCCCTTTGACCTCTGGGATTTTCACTCCACCGTTAGACTTCACTTCAGTCAAGTAATGGAACAGATTCTAAAAGCAAGTGGTTTTCAATCGTTCAGTAATTCCTCAGAATAGGCCGGAACTATGTAACTGGAACTCTCAGTAATTTATATGTGCAATGTGAAGGCATCTAATGTTTCATTAGCATATAGAAGCAATAGGAATACATTGGATTTTTATTCTAACTCACTTCCTACTTACGCAAATTGGTTTTATGTCTGCCTAGGTCTACAAAGAATCAACGATTCCAATGTTTCATCCCTACCGATTCATCGTAGAAGGAAGTAAACGTTTTTGCATGGAAACATTTCTACATGCTAGAACATATTTTGGGCTCATGGGCTCTGAGTAAATTATAGGGCCCTGAAGAATACTGTAATTGGGGCTATGTTAATACAGACTTTTATTGTATGTATGTACAATATGTAAAAAGTATGTAAAGAGCTTTGACTGTGAAATGATAAGAGTCAGAGCTACGAGCTGAGGTTAAGAATGAATGTTTGAGAAATGTGTAATGAAAGAAAAATCACGACGTACAATTTCTTTCTGCCTCTGATAAGTTTGGCAACTGCTACATTGGATGCACCTGGGTCACTAAAAGATCCTTCCTTTCTTGGATTTAATTCTTTTTGGTTCCTGGACTAGCAGAAAAGGACTCTGAAAAGCAAAGTATAATGCTGTTCCTCTGATCCAAATGTTCTCTGCCCAAACTATAAGGCCAGAGTTGGCTCTCCATCTTGTCAGTTCAGGAATTTCTCTTTATTGATTTGAAAAACTGAACCACCTTTCTTAAAGTTATAATAATACTGGCCAGATTGGGGTCTGGAAATTAAGCGTGGGTCCTACATCTCATTATGTGTAAGGTGTAAATGATTTAAATACGGTTTCCCACTCCTTCTTTAGTAAAATGGAAGTGCAAATAATTCCACATATACATTTTCATAGATATATTTAGGAAAATTATATGCAAAAGGCAAGGATTCTCTGTTATCTTTTTCTACCTTAGGAAGGTATTTTTTTTTTCTCTGCCTCTCTGAACATGGGGAAAGGTTCATTCCTCAGCTTCACCTCTTATTTTCGGATACATGGACCAAGAGTCATTTGTATCAGAGAAAGGCTCTGGGCACAACTCTAAGCTCTCAGATGCAAAGCATTCAGTCGAAGCACAGATTATGTGTTTGTATATCTACACTGAGGGAAATCTGCCCTTTGGATTCAAATTGGGTAGTCTAACCTCTAAGACAACTAAGCCCTACTTTTAGGGTGGGTATATTCTCTGCTATCCTTGGGTGGTAAGGACATTTTGGTCCTTCTCATTCCCAACATGTTTGTGGAATCAGTAATTAAGATGGAGGTTGGTTCAACATGTATGAAGCTCTTTGTTATTCTAGAAAAAGAAAATTACTGCTTATTACACTGGCTACCAAAACCCACTGAGCAATATCAACATTTTTGTATTTCTAATACTCCCAACTAAACCTTTAGTAAAATCTGAACACTAACTCAGAGTTCTCAAAAATAATTATATTTGGAACTTCTCCTGCTTTACTAAAGTATCGCATGTTTAATGCTTCCAAAATATTTGTCATGACTTATTTTTTTTTAACAAATGTATTTGATATTTTTCTTCCTCCTTGGTCAACATCATCTTACTGTCTTGTTTGTTAACACCTGCCTCATGCGTTTGTTCTGACTCTCAGTGGAGGATATGTGCCCACTCTTCAGAGAGCAAGACATAGGCTGTGTGATTCCCTAGCACATCACATGCTATAGTACATAGTACAGGGTCAGAACTCTAGGAACAACTGCACAAACCTAATTCAATTATACATTAAAGACAAATATCTTGTATGATCCATAAAGACCTATTTTCTAGGTTTTATCATTAATACAATTCAATTCACTTACCTCATGTAAACACGTATATTGTATATGATATGGGGCAACCTTCTCCTCTCCTTTTATTTCCACATTGATTTTCAATCGAATGGCCCCAGACACGGCTGACTTATCTGTCCGTTTCTCTGATAAAAGAAAACAGTAACTGGTCATTTTTGAAAATACTGTATTTCTCATAGAATTTCTCAAAAGCTTTTAAAAGGCTTACATGGCTAAAAGGGACTTTTCTAGATTAGGTTTGATTATTAATTAACCATTATGATTCTGGTAAACACAATTTAAAATAATGTGCCTATTGTGTGACTAATTGTCAAACCACATTACAGATAATTCAAACAAAAAGCTTAATCAGAAGATCCTGACATTCTGATACAAATTTCTGTGTACTTGATTAGTTTCTGCAATGAAATTAATTGTTTGGACAATTAAAAGCAAGATAACTTAAAAATATAATTAATCAGTAAACTATTTCATGTAAAAGCGTTTGCTTCTCTTTCTATGCCTGAAAAGATAAGTCAAAGCTCTAACAAAAAAATCTGTTCACAGTTTTCTTTATCAGTGATTCATAAAGACCTACAGTCTATGGCCTTTGTTTACTAATGTGTTGGATTAACTGTTTATTTGGATGGAATCAATATTTAGTCAATTCAGTCAAATAATGTGTATGGGGGTTCAATATGACCTGATCAGTAGCTTTTAGAGAAAAAAAGAAGAGCATAATCACAAAATTCCTATACTTTGTACTTAGGGGACCTTCATTTGATATATACTTCACAGATGAAATAAAAGAGGCAAGCTGACCCATTTCACAAATAAAACACAAGGAGGCAGAGTGACAGAGAAAGTGACAAAGACTTACTGACCTTCTTTCTAAGCATAACTCTATTTATAGTCATAAAAGATACGGTTAAATCATGAAGTCTGCCTTCGTCTTGTGGAATGTCTGCTGACTCTTCATTGTTAATATTTGATAATCATTGTGTTATGAATATTCTTCCCTGAGGAGGGCCAGGATCATGAGAGTTTCTCCTACTGGCAGGGAGACAGTTGATTCTCAACAAATATTAAAGTTTTCTGCTGGGGCTGAAAGAAATGCCAGTGCTAGAATCTTTTTGTCACAGACCTTTGTCCAAAGTCCCAGGGAGCATTACTGGTTCTTTGATTTTAACTACCATCAGCCCCAGAGACCTATGGGACACAGATTTTGCTTAGATGCCCAGGGCTTTGGCCAAGTCCTCCTCTGCGGAGCGGAATGATTCTATGTGATGAACACGATACAAAGAGTAGACATATGATACTTATGGGGATTGAACCTACCGAGGGATTTTACACAAATCTAAAACCTGTCCTTCACAGCCTCCTTCTCTCTCCTCTAAAACTCCCAATATCAGCAAAAGAGGGCACAAACACAAAAACTGATGGTCAGCAGGCCACGATTTCCCTATCCTGCCACATCCTACTTTCCTCCCCGTTCATGGAAGGACCATTTCTGCATAAGAGCTGAATAGCCAATTTTTACTAATTTACTGATTTTACTAATATCTCATTCAAGCTCCTTGGCAAAGTGAATTTACCCACATCAAAAAACATGTGACAGGAGGCAAAGAACATCAAAAGAATTGTTCTTTTGTCAAAAGAATGATTTAAGGAATTTCTGTTTGGGATTCTAACTGCCTCAATTCAAGGACATGCTAACTTACAACAGAAGAAACAGTCTGTGTATGGGTGAACCACTTCGTAACACAATTTGTGAGTACTGGTTACACAGAGTTAATGGCCTGAAGTTTACTCTTACCTAACATCTCCGTTTTCATATAGAAAGTTGTCTTACATAGAAACAAGATACAGGAGGATGATCACTATAACCGAACTAAAAATTTTAACAGTAATGTCAAAGCACCAATTTTGTTTAAGGAAGATTTCTTTAAAATATATTTTCATATTGGGTTCTTATTCTAGCTTGAATCATTTGTATCCAGATAAGTTATATATCTTTCCTTCTTTAAAATTATTGTGTTAGAGTTTCATTAATTCTATGACTTTACCACTATGCCTTGTCAAATATTACATTATGTGAAGTATGTGTGTTTTTCAAAAAGCCAAAAGTACTCTTAAATTTACTACAGTATATTGATATATTGATATCCTAAATGGAAACTCTTTGCAATCCTGGGACTGTATAAACACTTCCTTGATTTAACCAGCCCTTAAAAATTTAATTAAAACATTTCAAATGATATGACTAAAAAATTGTGGATCTGGCAATCATCAGTTTCTTCTCTGTATTGATAAATCTGATTCTGGTTTTTGGTTATTCATTTGTTTTGTCTTTTAGATTCCACATATAAGTGAACTGGGGTTGGGAGAATGGGCAAAATAGGTGATGGGGCGTGGGAGAAACAGGCTTCCAGTCATGGAATGAGTAAATCATGGGAATAAAAGTTACAGCACAGGGAATACAATCAATAATACTGTAACAATGTTGCATGGTGATGGTCAGTACTACCCTTGTGTGAGCATAGCGTAAAATATAGAGTTGAATCACTATGTTGTACACCTGAAGCTAATGGAATATTGTGTATCAACTATAGGCAAAAACGTTTAAAAAAAATAAAAGAGGGGCACCTGGGTGGCTCAGTGGGTTAAAGCCTCTGCCTTCGGCTCAGGTCATGATCCCAGGGTCCTGAGATTGAGCCCCACATCGGGCTCTCTGCTCAGCGGGGAGCCTGCTTCCTCCTCTCTCTCTCTGCCTGCCTCTCTGCCTACTTGTGATCTCTGTCTGTCAAATAAATAAATAAAATCTTTAAAAAAAAAATAAAATAAAATAAAAGATATTTTGGGTCACGTCCTTTATAGAAACTGAGCTGATCCATATATTTTTTACTATTATTGAATCAGCACAGAAGATTCTAGGTTATTATTCAATTACTGTAAAAGTCAAAATAAAGCTTTATTTAATTCTCGGTTCCGTAATAAAGTTTCATTTAAAAAGTCATGCCAACTAAATATATTCTCAATATTTTTATCAACAGGGTAAACATAAGTCCACATTTGTATGTCTTGGCTAACTAAACCCTACTTTTATATCATCATTCGAAAGATATCCAAAATACACCTTTCCTTTATTGCTAAAATGTCATTAAGGGACCAAAAGGAAATAAGTCAAACAGCATAACGTCATATGTTGTTTCCTATACATTCAGCAAAGTTTTTGAAGCTATATTTATGAATTTAAAATCAAGAATGGGATATTTTTCTCCTAAAAGACAACCAGTTGATTTTTTGAAAGGCTTCCTCATTTCATCTCAAATTTACCAACATCTTACAATAATACTGAATTTGAATAAATATTTCAGCAGAATGTTGTAGAAAGACACTGCTTATTTTGACTTATATGGGAATATAACATAGGCCACAGATACTCAAATTTTATTTAACTGTTTTTCAAGTAAATTGAAAAATAGTCACCTAAGTTGTACCAGACATCCATCTCTCCACTCAGGGTCCTCACTTCTACAATTGTTTGTCCCAAAAAATCATCTGACTCCTTTTTGAAATGTTGCTTGACTCTGGATTTAATGTCATCATCTTCATCCCACACTCTGACTTTGATTCGATCTGTGGAGTTATGGCACTCACTGAAAATAAATGTGGATAAGTTAACAACCATTGGTAACTGCTCTAAGTGGCATTTAATGTTAGCAACTCCTTTTAAATCTGTCTAATCCAGAAAGGTGTAGTATGTTATCTAAGAAATGAGATTTCCCACTGACCCATTCTATCTAGAGGATGTTACAGGTGTCAGGGACATCGAAAAATGTTGTGTTAGTTAAGCAATGTTCCTAAGGGGTAATACCCTATTCAAACATATTTCCTTTAACTGAATTGAATGCAATCAAATATGGGTCAAAAATATTTAGTGTATTTTCTCTTTGATATATTTCTTATTTGCAATGGTTTTCCAGAAAAACACAGCCATACTCAGAAAATCCTGTACCATCCATATAAAGTTAATGTTACTTCTATGGATGTCACAGAGTATAAATGACAATACAGTTATTTGCTTGTACTTAGTAAACTATAAATCCCAGTAAGTATAAGATACTGTTAAATCAATTAGAATTAGAGAAAAACCCTTCTGTTTTTAAGAATAAACTGCACACTTGAATCCATTTTTCATTTCAAGGTTTCTTCCACCTACTTTGTTGAACCCACACATATGATGTTAGTATTGCCCACACATATTATGGTGTTTCCTGACCCTATACACTGTATACACTCTTCCCTATGCTTCTTTACCTGCCAACCAATCATTCTTTAAGCATTGGGTCGTCGCCTGTTCTTTCTTTATTTTTTGTAGCTATTGACCCAGTTAGGATGATCAATGATGAGCTCCAATTTGCTCTGCACATGCATTTACTTTAGCATAAGGATCTCCAACATGGGGTAGGTGGATGAAAATGGATGAAATATGGTCAGCCTAGATGTTCATCACCAGATAATGGATAAAGAACATCAAAATCATATCAAGAACTTATAAAACTGAATACCCAAAAACCAAATAATCCAGTTAAACAATAGGCAGAAGACACGAATGCACATTTTTCCAAAGAAGACCTATAAATGGCTAACACACACATGAAAAGAAGTTCAACATCATTCATCATCAAGGAAATACAAATAAAAACTACGATCATATATCACCTCACACCAGTCAGAATGGCTAAAACTAACAACCCAGGAAACAACAGATGTTGGCGAGGATGTGGTAAAAGGGGAACCCTCTTACACTGTTGGTGGGAATGCAAGCTGGTGCAGTCACTCTGGAAAAGAGTATGAAGGTTCCTCAAGAAGTTAAAAATAGAACTACCTTCGATCCAGCGAAGAATGGAACTAAATTGGACCACTCTCTTACACTGTACAGAAAAATAAATTCGAAATGGATGAAAGACCTGAATGTGAGACAGGAATCCATCCATCCAATTAGAGAAGAACAGAGACAGCAACTTCTTTGACCTCAGCCATAGCAACTTCTTGTTAGTGTCTCCAGAGGCAAGGGAAACGAAAGCAAAAATGAACTATTGGAACTTCATTAGGCTAAAAAGCTTGTTGCACAGTAAAGGAAACAATCAACAAAACTAAAAGGCAACCTACACAGAATGGGAGAAGATATTCACAAATGAAATATCAGATAAAGGGCTAGTATCCAAAATCTATAAAGAACTTCTCAAACTCAACACCACTCCCCAAAATAAATACAGTTAAGAGATGGGCAGAAAACATGAACAGACATTTCTCCAAAGACAACATCTAAATGGCCAAAAGACACATGAAAAAATGCTCAGTGTCACTTGACATCAGGGAAATATGAATCAAAACCACAATGAGATACCACCTCTCCCCAGTCAAAAGGCTAAAATTAACAAGTCAGGAAACAATAGATGTTGATGAGGATGTGGAGAAATGGGAACCCTTTTATAGTGTTGGTGGGAAATTAAACTGCACCCACTCTGGAAAACAGTAAGAAAAAGAGAAATGGCCTATGACCCAACGATTACACTACTAGGTGTTTAGCTAAATGATACAAACATAGTGATTCAAAGGGGCACATGCCCGCCAGTGTTTATAGCAGCAATGTCCACAATAACCAAAAGATGGAAAAAGCCTAGATGTTCATCATCAGATAATGGATAAAGAAGATATGATAATAGAATATTACTTAGCCATGAATAAGAATGAAATCTTGCCATTTGCAATGATGTGGCTGGAACTAGAGGATATTATGATAAACAACATAAGTCAGAGAAAGACAAATATCATGTGATTTCACTCATACATGAAATCTAAGAAACAAAACAGAAGAACATCGGGGAAGGGAATGAATAATGAAATAAGATAAAAAAAAATAGTGAGGGAGGCAAACCATAAGACACTTTTAACTATAGAGAACAAACTGAGGGTTGCTGGAGGGGAGGTGGGTAGGGGTAATCGGATGATGGGCATTAAGGAGGACACTTGATATAACGAGCACTGGGTGTTATATGTAACTGATGACTCACTAAATTCTGTCCCTGAAACTAATAATACACTATATGTTAATCAAATTGAATTTGAATTAAAAAATTAAAACAGGGGCACCTGGGTGACTCAGTGGGTTAAAGCCTCTGCCTTCGGCTCAGGTCATGATCCCAGGGTCCTGGGATCGAGTCCCGCATCGGGCTCTCTGCTCAGCAGGGAACCTGCTTCCCTCTCTCTCTTTCTGCCTGACTCTCTGCCTACTTGTGATCTGTCTTTCTGTCAAATAAATAAATAAAATATTTGAAAAAAAATTAAAACAAAAACAAAAAAGAGTGGACTACCAGATGATCCAGCAACTACACTACTAGGTATTTACCCAAAGGATACAAAAATACTGATTCAAAGGGGCACAGCACTCCAATGCTTACAGCAGCATTATCAACAATAGCCAAATTATGGAAAGAGCCCACATGTCCATCGGCTGATGAATGGTTAAAGATGATGTGGCATATATATATAATGGAATATTTCTCAGCCATTAAAAAAGACTGAAATTTTCAACAATGGGGATTGAGCTGGAGTTATCATGCTAAGCAAAATAAGTCAGACAGAGAAAGACAAATACTATATGATTTCACTCATATGTGGAATTTAAAGAACAAAATAGATAAATATAGAGGGGAAAGAGACAAATCAGAAAATAAACTCTTAACTATAGAGAACAACTAAGGTTTGCTGGAGGGGAGGAGAGTCCGGAATGGACTAAATGGGCGATGGGGGGAGCGTATGAAGGCAGGCGCTTGTTGTCATGAGCACTGAACATTGTATAAGTGATGAATCACAACTTCTACCACTGAGACTAATATTACACGATATATTAACTAACTAGAATTTAAACAACTTGAAAGAAGAAACAATAATAAAGTAATTTCACCTTTATTTTCCTTTAATTATGAATATAAACAATAAACCACAGCTATACTATGAGTACCTGAAAAATTTTGTCACCAATAAAACCAAGATATTTACATGTAACATTATCATTGTTAAGAAATTTGTAATATTATTTGTAACTATCATTTACTGTACTGAAAGTATTCTTCAAAGTAATTGATTTTCTCTTCAATTCTATGTAATTTATGTTAGGAATTTACAAATAAATGATTTTGAAAAGCATCCATGGTTTTCACCAGATTGCCAAATGGACTCATGGCATAAAAAATACTTAAGAACTGGGGCGCCTGCATGACTCAGTGAGTTCAAGCCTCTGCCTTCGGCTCGGATCATAATCTCAGGGTCCTGGGATCAAGCCCCACATCAGGCTCTCTGTTCAGGGGGGAGCCTGCTTCATCCTCTCTCTCTGCCTGCCTCTCTGCCCACTTGTGCTCTCTGTCTGTCAAATAAATAAATAAATCTTAAAAAAAAATACTTAAGAACTATTGACAGAGTTCTCTCTCTCCCATTAACCTACAGGCAAGATCATACAGCACATTTAAGAATAAAACTTGCCATATGACATAGGGATGTGAAAAATAAGCCCCACTATTTCTATGTAATGCTAGAGCTTTCTACATAAAACATTTTGGCAATTTCTGTTTTTTTTTTTTTTTTTTGATTGCTGTAAACATTTAGGTGCACTAGTGGTCTTAGATTGGGGAAGGCCCAGGATTTGGATACCTTACCATCTACTAAACAGCTTGCATGATTTGAAATGATGCAAAGACATTAATAAAGATGCTAAATGAATTGAAAAGCACCTCAGTTTGGGACTTACTTTTTTTTACATATAAACACCAACTCTTTTGCTTATTTTTTTTTTCAATACACATTTTAATTTTATTTTTTTTATAAACATATATTTTTATCCCCAGGGGTACAGGTCTGTGAATCGCCAGGTTTACACACTTCACAGCACTCATCATAGCACATACCCTCCCCAATGTCCACAATCCCACCCCCCAACCCCCCTCCCCCCATTAACCCTCAGTTTGTTTTGTGAGATTAAGAGTCACTTATGGTTTGTCTCTCTCCCAATCCCA